AAATTCACAATCGCCCTCACTGCTTCTTATTTCAGCTGGAAGGAGAGATGCGTCAGATTCTTCAAGAGTCGGCCGAATCGAAGCGAAAAGTTGAAGCCACACTGAGGAGTCTGGCGGGCTCTGTGTCAAATATGCCCGGTTTTCTTGAGTATCCATCTCTTAACCGTCTCCCAGTTTTCCTGTGAAGTTCTTGCTTTTCCCCTACTTACTGTACCCACCCCTCCCACACACATCCTTTTTTATAAATATCAAGCGTTACCTACTTAGCAAGTACTTACTTGCCCCTTCAGAATTGATCATTCTTTATCGATTTTTAGGCATCCGGACAGTAACGAGTAGATATTGACTGTCATGTATTCGGGGTGCGGGAGTAGAGAGATAGGTGGCAGCCCGTCTCGGTATACTGACGAATTCCTGGTCCAAATTTTGCCGCTCAATTCTTGTGTTAAATCATCGATAATAATTTAGGGTCGTGGACACTAATGATTACTTGCGTGCTCTCAGACCAGGAATAATTCCCATACATGGTGCTCGAATAGTGCCAGCGTCAATACCAAATGAGCGAGCAAACGTCACTCGACAATTTGTAACAATGTATCGAAGTTACCCTGGCCTTGTATCTTCATTTGCTACTTTACCCAGGAAAGCAACAAAAGTTTAGCCCGGCATGAAATTGTTTCATTCGAGAAGCCTTGATTCAATTTACCCATTTCTGTCCCTGAGATTCCTTGGCCACACCCCCCTACAAGCCTCTTGTCCGTCTATTGCACGGAATTTTTAGAAGGCCTTCGCTTCGTTGGCCGTTCTGCGTCAGCTGGAACTGAATTTCACGGGCAAGTCCTCATAGCCGTTGAAGCTTCTGGGTCCATCTTGATCAGTAAGATGTGGTGGTGGCTATGGTCACCCCAGTTGTTCGGCTTCAACCTCTTGAAATGGCCTGTCTACATCAACCGAACGAGAGCCTCCTTTGTGCCTTGGTTTTGTCCCTTCTGCCATTAAAAGCATTTTCTTACAGCATGCCGAATTCGCTTTTTTCTCGCTCGTCTACATCGCTTCGACTTATAGTTTTTTTCGAAAGTGTACTGCAAAATATATGCTCTTCTGAACCCTTCTCCAGCTTTCTATTCAAGTGATTTGTCAACTGCTCGCCCAAGCTTCCGTGATTAATGTTAAAAACATCCCATATGTGACGCAAAGGTTTTATCATAAATATTATTTACCAAATCCCAGAACTCCGGCATAGGCTGACAATTCCACCAATTTCAGTCACTTCTCGCACAACTAGACACTTCGGTGCTTTTGGATACACTGACTGAGCCTTTTCATATTTGTATGAATCAAGTTTGATTTGATGGAAGAGTAATCGCCAGATTCTATATGCAAAGTTAGTCTGCCTCGTGGACGTGACTTTTTTCAGCCGAACTACTGACTGTGAGATTCCCGACGGATTTGGGCGATATCCGATGAATCTGCCGATACACTCATCTCCGAACTAATGGAAGCTTTCCGTGGCAAAATACGATATACTTCGGAAGGGTTTTACAAGCCCTTTAAATATGTGCGGAATAAAAATTTAGTCCACGAGCAGAATACTCTCCCCAACAGCCGTTCTTCTATCTATTTCGTTTCAATTTTCTTATCGAATACGTTGCCGGGTCGACGCGGTTGTACTAAGTTTGACTTTCTAGCAGTTACTAAATTCTTCCAAATAAGAGTGGTGATAGTGCTATCCGCTCGGCCTCCAGCTAGCTTCTTGTGTTCAGTGGCAATTGCTTTCGAGTTTATAAAAATTCGCAGTCCCATACGCCAATTACGGGTCAACAAAGAATGAGTCCTCCGGAAAGGAGATTTCCATACGCGGGGAGGATAACTTAAGGACATGGATCTAACTATTCCAGTCCGGCTGGTTTCGAACATAGATCACTTTCTCCACAAAGGTTTTATTCATTGCTCAATAAATAGGCGCGCCTTCCTAGGAGATAACGCATCATCTGATTTCAATGACTAGAGGGTAGACAACGGGAAAAATTCGTCGATAATGTCCAACGTTTATCAGGTGTTAGCAAAGTGTATTGTGTCAGAATGTGGCCAGAACAGAATTCACGCCTACGGGGTCGGAAGCCATTAGGGATCCAAAAATTATATGGTAGGCAAACATTGACAAGTGAAGCAAAGATCCGAGCATTGTCTGGGAAATAATTCGACTGATCATGTTGCTTTCTTACTAAGTAAGTTTGGTTACAACCGCATTAAAGAAACTGTCCTTGATGAGGTATCGTATTACTCCTCTGCCACAAATATGACGGTGCTAGTACGACCTGTATGGAAAAATCACTGTCCATCAAATCACCCGGTCAGAACGTCAGTTTGGTACAAGTCCTAACCACATTCTCCGATCAAAAAGCCTCCATATATTCTGGTATTTTTTGCCTGGAGATAGAAAGGAAGTCAGTATGTACTCCTTAAATTCACAGACAGATGTGGAAAGAATAATGAAAACGGAACTAGTAGAATGTCTCTGGAAAACGTCCTTTCTTACTGTGTATTTATTTGGCTGTATGCGCGAACTGTCCTTCTTCACGGAGCTATTGATATGGACGGAAAACTCACTATTTTTTAAAAAAAATTTCCAGTTTCACTACGGGGTCCATAATATTTTCCGAAAACCTTTCGCACATGATCACCGTAAAAGCCGGTCCGTGAACTATGCAAAAGGGACTGCTGGAAAGGATATCCGGCCTGAATGGAATTGTTCACAACTGAAATGGACTGAATGGTCCAATGTCATCATCATCCGTTAATTTCAATGTAATCGTTTTAAACGTAAAGAGAAAATGGAAGCGGAAACTAAAGCTTCATACTGCACATGAAGCTATGGGTTCCAAGCAATGAATGAGATAAGCGACCTTGGAATGTGGATAAAGTCCACCCTCATGCACTTATCTCAATACCCGCTCGTAGTTAAGGTTGATTTAACTACGGTCATGCCTGTTCAAGTCAGTGCTAATGGTGTCGTAAATTGTTCTTTTCCGTGGTTGTCGACCCGCAGCAGCAAACATAAAACTCCTCCCACCATATCCTTCAGCAACGGAGACCGAATACAGAAGGTCCAAGAAACATCCCCGTACCCATGCATGGAGGCAGCTTATTAATTGACCTCTATGATGCCTGCAGGCAAATACGCCTGTGGATCGATAACAGAAACATCAGGTTTATGGGGCGGACAACTAAAAGCGTGTCCAAATCACCTCAGTCGTCTTTCCTGGGTGGTCTGAGACATCTCCGCGATTTCGTATAGCGAGTGTGGATCGTCGTATGGAAGGCAACGCCAGTCCGATTTACTCGAAGGATTCGCCACGAGCAATGGTGGTCCAATACTTCCAGCGTCCTTCATGTACAGTAGCTACGCATTGGCAGCCATGAAAACGTTATCGCCTAGGGAGAGGATATCGTCCTTACCATGTCCATTCGGCATCAACTTCATCCAGATGTATATTCAATTGTCTTCTTCATCAAATGAACAGTCATTAATCCTGAGTGGCGCATATGTGCGAGACGCCAGACACTCTTTCTTTTACCCACCTGTTCACCATTCGTGTATTTGTTTTCTAGCTGATTGGAGGAGCTCTGCTCAACGTGACGCGCGTGGCATATATTGGTCTATCAGACCATTTGACATTTCATTATTAATTCTTTCAAACCTCCAGTTTTGTCCTGATATCCATAGTCTGAGATTGGCAATCGTGTCCATCGCGTTCACAACCCGCACTCCTGGTCAGTGTGCAGCCTGAAAATACTCTGTTTATCTAAGCTTATGTGGAAAAATAATGGATTCCACGAGTTTATTTACCCGCAACACCACAGTCCAAAAGTTACCAAAGGAAGGGTTGTTACCGAGTAGACGATCCGCACCTGCCAGTTCGAAGATATCATCGGATTGAACCGAATGTGGCCACATCTCTTTCGCCTGTAATTTGGAGAAAACAAATTAAGCTCGGTTAATCTGGCTTTATAAGGCAGATAACGAAGATTCATCACCATATTCGCAACCCTCGCCTGCACTCGTTCCATCAACTGACGACCTTTCTTGGGCCACGGACACCTGGCCTGTAAGGCATATTCCACGCGAGACCGAACGAATGAACTGTAGTTTCCGCCGAACACTTATCTTTAGCTCGTACAAATACTTGTCTCCGCCTGAATGACACCTGCACTGCGAGTTTTGCGGCCTTCAAAATCTGTGAAGAATGTTTAGGCAAGGAGTTCACTGGAACACTGACGTAAGTTATGTCGTTCCCGCGAACTAACGAACTACGGCTTACTAATCTCATAAACGGAGAGAGGTAAGGAGGGCCAGTAAGTGAATAAAGTTAATATTCAAAATGTGCAACGACCTGACCAGAGAGCGCGCAAGCGGCGCGAAGCTTACAAGCGACGGAGTCCTCGTCATGTTAAAACAAACGTGACAAGATTGTCAAAGGTCAAGTAGTCAAGTACTTCAGCACAGTACCACCCCCCGAGACCGGAGGGCGGCGTGAACGACGCCGGAGGACATACAAAGATCTAGGAGAAATGAGTAACTAGACGATCGGGAAAGTGAACGTGGCGTCCACTGCGGGTGATATATGCGGGAGGCACTGTTGGAGGCAGCTGAGTAGGTGTTGTAGTGGACAAGTTAAGGGTGGAGGAAGAGGTTGCAGTTTGATGCTGCGAACAAGAAGGAAGAGGAAGTATACGGGACGGAGAAATAGGTGGGGAAAGTGGAAAAGGAGTGGGAGGAGGTATGGGGTCAGCACATGCTTGTCCTTGAGACACGTCCGGGGCTCCTCTGCAACAGCAGCCTTGACCCGGTCGATGCTGACTACGTCCACTTTGTCACCTCGCAGGATCCGAAAGGTCTTGCTGTTACGTGCAAGCACACAGAACGGTCCTTCGTATGGTTATTCTAACGGCTTCCGCGCACGACCACTGCACCGAACGAACCCATGGGTGCAGTTGGCTTAGCCTTTTCCAACATAAGACTTGGTCGATGGAGCTCGAGGTGGAACCGGGAAGAGCGAGCGCATGAATTGTCGCAGACGATGCACAAAATTTTCGGGGGTCTCTTCGGCACCACGAGAGGTTGGAGTGACCATCTCACCAGGGAGTCGGAGGGTAGTGCCGAAAACCAATTCGGCTGCGCTGCAGTCCAAGTCTGACTTCAGTGCCGCACGAATGCCAAGAAGTGCAACGGGTAAATTGTCTGACCAGTTTTCGGGATCTTCTGCGGCACGCAGTACAGCTGTTAGCTGGCGGTGGAAACGCGCAGCCATGCCGTTGGCAGCTGGGTGGTAGGCCGTCGTCCGAATACGTGTGCAGCCAAGGAAGTTGAGGAGAGTTTGGAAAAGTGTGGACTCAAACTGCGCGCCTCGATCACTCGTAATCATGGATGGCGCACCGAATATGGCGACCCAACGACTGACGAAGTCTTTCACAATAGTCTCAGCTTGCACATTCGGTAAAGGAATGGCTTCCGGCCAACGGGTATAGCGATCAACGCAGGTGAGAAGGTGAGTATAGCCATTGGATGGAGGTATAGGACCTACGACATCTAAATGCACATGGTTGAACCGTGCATCGGGGCTGGGGAACGTGCCCGATGGAGACTTGTTGTGGCCTTGAACCTTGTTACGTTGACAGCAAAGGCACGATCGTGTCCAAGCTTTCACATCCTTGTTCAACCCAGGCCATACGAACCTTTCCGCGAGGTGCTTCTGTGAGGCTCGAATCCCAGGATGGGAGAGTCCGCGGAAGGTTTGAAAAACAGCTCGACGCATCGAGGCAGGCACATAAGGGCGATGAAATGGAGTCGATACGTCACAAAGGATTGTGCCAGTGCCGGTGGTCAATGGGACGTCAACTAATTGAAGACTGTCAACAGACGCGTCGCCAGGGCATCCAACACGTCGTTGTTCAGCCGCCATAGCACCAAGATCAATCCCGTGTGAGAGGTGAAACGCCGAGAGGGAAGGTCTGGACAGCATGTCGGCCACCGCATTCTTCGAGCCATCAATGGGTCGGATGTCGGTGGTGAATTGCGAGATGTAATCCAAATGAGAAATCTCTCTCGGGTTATATTTGTCAGAATGGGATCGGATGGCAAATGTAAGTGGTTTGTAGTCTGTGAAAATTGTGAATTCACGACCCTCAAGGAAGTGTCGGAAATGTTTTACTGCTAGGTAAATGGCAAGAAGTTCACGGCCAAACGTGCTATATCTCGTCTCGGCAGGTGAAAGCTTCTTGGAGAAGAATGCCAACGGTTGTGTCGAGTCGTTGGTATGCTGTTGGAGGACTGCTCCTACGACAACGGTCGAAGCATCAACCATCAGGGACAATGGGGCTTCTGGAGCAGGATGAGTGAGCAAGGTAGCATCAGCAAGGGAGGTCTTTATTCTCTCAAAAGCAGTCAGCGCGTGGCCACGTAACTCAAGGGGACCCTTGGGACTAGAGAGCAAGTTGGTGAGTGGCAGCATAAGGTCGGGACAGTTCGGTAGGAACCGGTAATAAAAGTTTACCATGCAACTGACGCTTGGAGGTTGGTGGAGGAAAGTCACGAATGGCCTGAACCTTGGAAGAGAGGGGACGCAAACCTTGTGCATCGACATGGTGACCAAGAAAATCAAGTGACGGCACACCCAGAACACACTTCGAAGGGTTAATGACCACGCCAAACTGGTCGAGGCGGTCAAACACTAAGGCGAGATGCTCCTTGTGTTCCTCGGCATTTCGACTGGCCCCCAAGAGGTTATTGCTGTAGGCGTACACAAACGGGAGACCACGTATGACTCGATCAATGAACCTCTGAAATGTTTGGGCAGCATTGCGAAGACCAAATGGCATGCGAATAAATTCGAACAGGCCGAATGGTGTGGTGACGGCAGTTTTGGGAACATCCTCAGAAGCGACAGGAATCTGATGGAAGGCCCAAACAAGGTCAGTCTTCGAGAAAATCGACTTGCCGAAAAGAGCTCCAGCAAAATCTTGAAGATGAGGGACGGGATAACGATCCGGGACGGTCGCATTGTTGAGGGCGCGATAGTCACCACAGGGCCGCCAGTCGTCTGATGTCGCCTTGGGCACCATATGCAGAGGGGACGCCCATGGACTCTCGGACGGGCGAATTATGCCCAGTTGCAGCATGTGCTCAAATTCGGCCTTCGCCGCTTGCAGACGGGACGGAGCCAGTCGTCTAGGCCGTGCGCATACTGGGGGGCCAGAGGTGCGAATATGGTGGACAACATCATGTTGGATCTCACCACTGCGAAATTGGGGTTTGATTATGTTGGGGTGTTGGAGGAGCAGGTCTCGGTATGGGCAAGCAATACCTGTGTCCAGAACAGATAAATTGCAGAAGTCATTAAAGGGTGTAAGACCACGGACAGAAAGACCAGTTGTGCGGTCGAGGAGACAGGAACGCCGACAGTCAACAAGGAGATCAAACTCGGCTAGGAAGTCGGAACCAAGGAGCGCATGAGGCACATCGGCAATCACAAATATCCAGGAGAATGATCGACATAAACCAATGTTTAGCGTTAGGGAACGATTACCAAAAGTGAAAATGGGGGAACAGTTTGCAGCTTGGAGATGTAGACCAGAACTGGGACAACTGCGGTCAACTGGAGTGGAGGGAACCACGCTGATCTGGGCTCCGGTGTCCATCAGGAAACGCCTGCGATTCACATTGTCGCAGACATAAAAGGTGCGACCAGAGCTGGGAGAGCCAGAGAAAACGGTCGCGTCTATTCTCTGGCTGGCTGGTTTCCCTGTTTCGGTTTAATTGAACAAGGGGAAGAACATTTGCGAGCCTTGGCGGCAAAGCTTGCGTGATATCAACACAAATTGGCTGTGCGAGGTCGCGAACGTGAACGATGACGGCTGGGTGAGCGACTACAGGTAATGCGAGCAAGCTGTAGTTTTAGGGAGGCTATCTCGTTCGCCATAGCCGACATTTGTTGCAGTAACTGCTCGTTAACCGTTGAAGAGGATGTGGAAATCTGAGCAACGGAAGGTGGCTGGAACCGTTGAACCTCTATCATTCGGTCTGCCATTTCAGCAAGTTGTTAAAGTGTAAGGTCTTGCGAGCCGGATGCCAAAATCGTTTGGATATCTGCAGGCAGCCGCTGTCGAAACATCTCTTTAACGAGTTTCTCGTCGACCTGCATGTCTCCTAAGAGAGTACGCATTCGTCGGAGAAGTTCTGAGGGCTTTCGGTCGCCCAGTGATTCCTCCTTGATCAACTGGTGGTAGCGTTGTCGGTCAGATACAACATTGAGACGAAGGATTTCCGCCTTCAGAGCAGAAAAGTGGGCGTCCGCAAGGGGTTTCACTAACGAGGGTTGAACTTGTGAGATAATATTGGCAGGGAGAACCTCCACAAGTTTGTGGTATTTCGACAACTCCTTCGTAATGTTGGCGGAGTAAAAGGCTGACTCAATGCGGATAAAATAAAGTTCAGGGGCGTGTTGCCAGAAATCAGGCAAAGTAAAATGGACGGCATGAACAGACTCGGCAGGAACGTCAGGTTGTTGAGTTGAGGAAGACATAATAAGCAAAATATGGGTAGCACAATATCGTGAAAAGGTTAGCGGGAAATGTAAATGAACTAAAATTTAGCAAATAAATACAGGACGTTAAATGTCATTAAATGTTACAGAATGAAAGAACTTAAGTCTGCGCTAACGTCGGGGTCACCAATGACGTAAGCTATGTCGTTTCCGCGAACTAACGAACTACGGCTTACTAATCTCATAAACAGAGAGAGGTAAGGAAGGCCAGTAAGTGAATAAAGTTAATATTCAAAATGTGCAACGACCTGACCAGAGAGCACGCAAGCGGCGCGAAGCTTACAAGCGGCGGAGTCTTCGTCACGTTAAAACAAATGTTACAGTAAAACAAACGTGACAGGATTGTCAAAGGTCAAGTAGTCAAGTACTTCAGCACAACTCCGTGGTCTTTCTCTCACTCAGCATTTGAAAGGGGTTGTCTTTTGAGGAGTTGACGAAATGAATTCTCCTGTTCATTGATTGTTTGAGTTCGGAGTCTTGGGATCGTACGCTAACGCAGCGCTATAATATAGAAGCCGACGAACAAAGACGATCATTCCTTACTACCATCTCCGTTGACTTGAGTTGTAAGGGAAGGTCTCTTTTCCATATTCATGACTTCCAGTATGCTGTTTTACTGTGGTTCTGCAATGTCAAGGCGGCTTGCATGTGGCATTTTGGATGTGGATGAGTTGTGAAATATAGCCGTGTGCGAAGGAAAGCACGGTCTGG